AAGCCCTTGCTTGGCCTCTACCTCCATCCCACACCACCCGACCTCACCCTGGCAGGAATGCCCATCCTTCTGAAGCTCATAGCCTGGACGGCAGGAACAGAAGTAGCCACCAACATAGTTGTGGCACAGGTGCTGGCACTGGGGTTGGGTATTCTCCTCAACTGAGTTACGCTGGGAAGCACATTCATCGAGGTCTGGAAGAGATTCCGGAAGGAAAGATTAAATTCTTGCCAGGGGACTTCTGCAGTGGCGTTGGTCTCAGAGAGGTCACTCATCAGAGGCCTAAAGACCAAGTCAGCTCTTGGCCACCTGACCTGCAGGCCTCTCTAATGCTTTCTGGGTACTGCTCAATGGGGACAGGGCCCGGGTTGACAGGTCTCTTCTGGAAAAAGCTCTCTTGAAGGAAAAACAACAAGGAAGGCCAGGCTTCCTGCCTCTTTGGATTCAAGATTCTTTTTCTGGTCCCCAGTCAATATGACTGAGGCCCGTAAAAAGAGCACCCCCAGACCACTCACCCACAGCTTGGTAGTAGGCCAGGAAGCCCTTGTAGAACATGATGGTGCCATTCTCCTCATTGGAGAAGTCCGTGTGGAAGGTCAGAAGCATCTTGTTCCCTTGGGACATAAATTCCTTCCTTCCTGGGGGGTTGCCCAGTGGAGAACCCAGTTGTCCACAGAACCTCCCCAGGGTTTTCTTATCAGCAGAGATCTGGTGGAAGAAAGAGAAGGGATAGGAAGAAGGACTGTTGAGACACATCCCATATGGAAGGTCAGTGATAGTCCTCTTTCTCTTGTCCCAAGAGTGAATCATGTCCCATTGCTGGAATGGCCTCCACCTGGACTCTACCTGCTGGGCTCTGGCTGTTGCAAACTTCTCCGGGTGACTTTCATCTGCCCACCTGAGTCTCTCATTGGCTATCTCTTTGCACGTTCTCTTGTGCCTGCTACATCGCCCCTTCCTTATTTATGTTCCCCCAGCATGTTTCAGACCTTTCTTCATTCCCACACCCTCCCATGCCTTTCCTCCACTGGAATCCTGGTAGTCTCTACCCAGCCTTTATCATTCCTTCATTCCTAGAGCCTGGGCTGGTCTGCTTTAATTTCTATCTTGTTATTCCACCTCACCTTACTCAAACTATTCAAATCCAGCCATGCCTCCTGATATACACAGCTGAATGTGAGCCTTCGCTTCAGCAAGCATCACCAAGCAGAAGACATTTTTCCTCTCCACCCCATTCCTTGCTATCCTTGCCACCAAGACCCTTCCTCCCAACACTGCAAACGTCTCAAGTCCTCTGGGCTAGAGATGTGTCATTTTCATGTTATTCTCTCACAACCTCCAGGAGGCCTCCCAGGAATAGTACTTATTAGACATGTGTAGGCTCTACTTGAATCCTGAATCTAGAATCTCATTTTTATTGGATGTAGAAAGATGGGACTGGGACAGTGCCCTTGGATTTTTCAGAGGTGAGGGGACTGAGCCCATTGTCTTTGCTGAAGGCTATGCCTGAGCTACCACCACACACATTTCTCTTCCCCATCCATGTTCCTGTGTTCCTGATGGGGCAGGCAACCATGGTGATATCCTCAATGGAAACGGGGAAACGGCTTCTCAAAGACTTCCAGCAAGGAAACAGTTGGGAAAGGTTTTTCTGACTCCTATAGACAGTAAATTTCCTGAGAGTGGGGACTGTACCAACCCTCTTCTGTGTTTCTCTCCCCAGTGCTCAGTGAGGGCCTCTAAAGCCAGTGGACACCATCCATGGTATCGCCTGACTCCCAGAATGCCACTCAGCCATCAGCTCTTACAGGGTTGGGGCTGTGTCCATGGTTGGGAAGTGCTATCCAGGGTGACTAGAGCACAAGTCCTCAGGTTCCAGAGATACCCAGTTTTCCCTTATCCTCCCAACCTGACCGCCTACCTTGACATAGTCATAGAAACAGCCTTCAGAAGGCTCCAGGTCAAACTGCCAGAAGATGAGCTTCACCCTGTATCCCGTGGGGACTGTGATCACAGTGGTTGTCTCAAAGTTGTTGGGGTAAGGCTTGGGGTACAGAGGGGAAGTCACCTCCCCATAGAGCTCCTGAGGGGTGGGGATGGAGCCTCCTACCCTGCAGAACAGGGCTGGCACCAAGATGTATAAAAGCAACCTGCCAAAAAGAAAAAAGGGTGTCTGGAGGGCAGTGGCTGGAGTGGGGGATGGGATGGTCATACCGCTGGGCATTTTCCTCTCTGCCCATTCTAGACCTCACAGATGTTTTAGAGGGGGTGGGTGGAGTGGGGAGGCCCGTTTTTGTAGCTGCTGTATTGGGTGTTCCTCCCCAGGGCAGTGTCCAGTCCAGAGGTCATCACACTGCTTTTCTCCCCATCCTCCTCCCCTTCCCGGAATAGGGTTGGCTTGGGACCAGTTAATTGAGGGTGAGGGTTTTCAGTCATGGCTCTCTGAAAGGGTTTCCAAAGGCTCAGCAAAGGCCTCTGGGAGAAGCCGCCTTTGAAGTATGGAGTGGTGCACAGAGGACAGCTCCCTCTCCACGCCCCCATCTTGCTGCTCCCCTGCTATGAGCTGGGAAGAAGAAGGGGATGTGTCCGTAACCTCATACGTCTAGGGTCTCCTTTAGTCCTCAGGAGGAGAGATGGGGAGTATGTGTTTGCGTGTGTGCATGCGTGTGCACGCATGTACACACTGGACTAGATAAGGGATAAGAGGAAGGGAAGGCTGTTCCTGTCACCCTGAATAAATTTGGGAGCAGGTTGCCTCCCGTGCCCAGGGTTCTCCCCTCTGGTGTCTCCCTCCCTCCTTGGTCCCCATCAGCCTTACTCACATTTCTCAAGTCCTGCTTTTTCGGATTCTGGACTCTCCCGATAGCGTCTTCATCCACTCTGTATGGAGGGAGAGAGTGGTCATGCAGAGGGAGGGAGGGAACGACTGTGGAGGGGGAAGGGGGACCATTCCCGGAGGAATGTTGTAGGGAATGAACTATTTGCATAAACAAAACCACCAAAAAAAAAAAATCTGTTTCCAGTTTAATTTAGTTTTGGTTTTGAATTTCCTGATGGTGGTGCCACCTGCTGGCTTACATGGGAAGGGCTAATGAGATGGGTCAGTTTTTAGGAACAGGAAAGCCTTTGGTTGGGGGCCCAGATTTCTCATTTTCTAAATCTGATCTGAATTCTCCCTTTCTTCAGGGATCTTCCTAGGGACTGTTGCTGTGTTTACAGGATTCCCACCCAAAGGGCAGTGGAAATCACAGTTGAGGGGACTCTCTTTTCTGATTGCCCTTTAACGTTAACCTGATTCATCCTGTCCTTATGTCCTTAGTCACCCAGCAGCCCTGATCTAGGAATGGCCAGGGTTTCGATGTCCAAGATAATGTAACAGGGGAAGAGGAGGGCAAAGAGGAGGGAAAGAGGAATTTGGTTGCATTGTGGTCCTGGCCTACTTCACTCATGAATGACACTTAGGGTGATCCTAAAGCTGCAGTAGAGTCCGTTTTAAGACCCTTCTTCCTCATCTCAGTGAACTCAGGCCTGCCAATGAACTTGGCTTTTAGAAAAACAAGGACAGCTGGGGAGGGGATAGAGACATCCTCTTTTCCTCGGCATCTGGTAAAGAGTTTGAGCACCTGAGGGTCACGATTGCCTAGGGTTAGGCAAACAGTGTGGTTATGGACAAGAGTGGCTTGAGAGAAAGCTAGGCCCTAGGAGGGAGGAGAGTTCTTATGTCTGCTGTCCACCAGGCCATAGTATCATGTTTTAAAGGTTTGCTCTTTGTGGGAGCCTATCTTCATCAACTTTCCATTGCTCAAATGCCCTATGGCACTGTATTCCACAGGGAGGCTAAGGCTGCAGAGCAGGCCTCTGAGTTCTTAGGCCTCTGTAGTGTATCCTGCTTGTATCCCTTATTAGATTAATTCCTCCATCCCTGAACCAACCCACCCACTCATTCATCATTAATGGGAGACCTATTTAATGTGCCAAGCACTTTCCTAAGCAATGGATTGCAAGGACTCACGAAGATGGGGCAGTTCCCCATTAGGCAGTGACAAAGTCATCACTGAATATAGTTAAAGAGCAGGCACACAGAAGATGCAAAATCAACTAAGGTCTGGAGGATTTCTCCAGCAGGCTTATAGGTCAGAGTTGAGAAGTGAATCTGATGGCAGGGCTGATCCATGACATGACCCATGACTTGACCCATGGCCTTGTCAGGTCAACAAAGTCAAAAGATAGGGGAGAAGGATAAGGACCAGACTAGGATACAAGAAAGAGGGGGACTCTTATCTTATAAATTGTCCATTAGCATCCTGACAGCAGTGTGTGTGTGTGTGTGTGTGTGTGTGTGTGTGTGTGTGTTCATGGTGGGGACAGGGTTGCAGAGGTAACAGGTAAGGAGGAGGTGGTCCAAGAGGGTATGTCTTAGCTGAAGCTCTCCCATCTGTCATGGATTCTGAGTTCTGTCCTGGTATCAGGCAACATGACTGGAAAGTGACAATCCTGGACCTTATTAGCTCAGTCCCAGACCAACCTCCACTCTACCCAACCACTCAAAATAACCTTTACTCATACCTTTGTCTTATACCAAAAACAGAAAGAAGAAACAGCCATATAAATATTGTTCAGGCACTTGTTTTAAAACCAGTATTGGGGACATTGTCTGTGATATTGTTCATCCCTCTTGAGATTTGATTCTTTGGAAAAAAAGTTTTTTTCCATTAAAATAATGGTAGGTTTTCCTCTGTGGAGATAAACACAGAGGGTGCCAGAAAAATGTATACACATTTGAGAAAATGTATTAAAATTGTAATACTTAATATATACTGATAACCAAAGATGAATACAAGTCACGCTTGACTTCTGCAATTACAAGAGGTGCTCAAAGTGGTTACCATCAGCATAATTTTTTTTAAATTAAAGCTTATTGAGGTGACATTGGTTAGTAAAGTTACATAGATTTCAAGTGTACAATTCTGTAATACATAATCTATATATTACACCATCAGCATAATTTTAATAGTTTTTTCCTTTCTTAAAATGTTCATACATTTTTTTGGCAGGGTGTGTGTGTGTGTATTTTTTGCCTTGGCAGAGAGGAACTCACATCATTTTTTCAATAAAAATAAATAAATAAATAAAATTAATACATGCTCATCAAACAAAGTTTAGAAAATAGAGAGGAATAGGGGATAACAAAACAGCCAGAATTATACCACTTAAAAAGACCTCTGGTTAATATTTTAGACTATTTTTAATAGTCTTTTGTACTATGCAGAGGTTTAAAAAATAGAAGTAACCACATGTATGTATACCTTTGAATCCTGTTATTTTTTTCAAAGATAAATGTAACCTTTAACCGTATAGCTAACTTGAATTTCAATACTAGCAAAGCTGCTCTTTTCTCTGTCTTATGGTATTCATTTTCTACTTCCATTTGAACAACTGTATTTTATTTGTGCCTTTTACTGTAAATCACCCCAAGTCCTTACTAAAAGTTAAAGAGTTGGTCTTCTCAGGTGGAGCATGGCCCAGTGTGTCCAGCAGCACTGGGGGTATCTGCAGGTACATCCAGCCCAGGACTGGGCTCAGGAGATGGGGTGTCTGTCTGTAGGAGATGGGCCCCAGGAAAGTGTGAGCAGGTGTCCTCATCCTCACCAAAGCAGGAATTCCCAGGGAGCAAGGCTCTGTAAGGAATTGGTGATCGGGAAGGAGAAGTGGGTGATACAGCAGGCCTTGAGGACACCTGAGAAGTATCAAGGTGCACTGGGAAGCACACAGCCTTTGCAGTTCCAGGTCAGCTGTGAGATTTTAGGCAAGTCAATTTAGTTCCCTGAGCTTCAGTTTCCTCATTTAAAATGTGGATCATAATGCATCCTTCACAAACTTGGTGTGAGGAGTCAATGAAATAACATATATCAAGTGCCTGGTATACAGAAGATGGAACACAAAAATCAAGCTATGACTGTGATTACATCTAGCTGTTGTGGTAGGCAGTGAAGCCAATAGTTTGCATATTTGAAGATCAACTAAAGGGGATTTGGAATGTTTCAGAAATGAAATGCAATTAACACCACTTCCGCCATACACCACTTGAACAGGGGGATGAGTGGGTGGCTGTCACGCAGGAGAGACAGAAGAAGCTGTGTCAGCAGGAGACAAAGTTCAAAGTGAAACTTGCTGAGATGTACAAGGCTTCATTGGGTATTGCACAAACTCAAGGGAAGGTAGAAGGTAGAGGGATGCCCCTTCCATCAGGGATGGGGTCAGTTTTGAGCAGAGGAGGGGTTCTGTCCAGCCCAGCTCCTCTCTTCATGGAGCTCAGTCCTCACTCTCAACCCTCTCCCCTCTGGGGCCTCCACGGTACTGGTGTCACTGCTCAGCACCCTCAGGGTCAGTCTTTCCCATCCATCACTCGCTTGATCCAGTCCATGTAGCTGAGCACTTTGGTGTAGAAACCGTACCCTTTGCCACACCCGATGCCCCAGGATACGATGCCCGTGGCCACCCAGTGATGGGCATCATCATCCCATACCACATAGATGCCACCACTGTCCCCCTGGCAGACACTCTGCTTCCACGTCTTATTCCCAACACAGAACATGTTGTCAGAAAACACTTCAGTCCTCTGTTTTTCTTGGAGCCAGGCCTCGCAGGCCTCCCTTGGGGCGACAGGCAACCTTGAGTATTTCAACTCAGTAGTTAACCAGCCCATCTCCATGCCAAACCCACTGACATAGCCCATCAGGCCACTGCGGTAGAGAGTCTCACTGTCAGGCAGACAGACTGGGAGGAGGCTGGGGCCGAGGGAGACACTGTGCTGGAGCTCCAGGAGCGCAATGTCCCCGTTGAAGTTGTGGGACTCCTTCTGATGGTAGTCTGGGTGCACAACCACACGGCGCACAGGGTGGTTTCCCAGTTTTATTATCTCATCTATGTTTGTGTGGCCTAGGAACACATTCACACTTGGGTGCTTCCCGAGAAAGATGCTGTCCTTGGGATAGATGGTGTGGGCGGCAGTAAGAATCCATCTGTCACCTAGCAGAGCCCCTCCTGCACGGCCATGGATAATGGTGAAGGCTTGCCAGGGGAAGTTGCCCAACTTAGCTTTGGAAGGACCTTGGGCTTCCTGGTTCTGGGTGATGGGGGTGACTGGCCGTCCACACACTGGGAGAGAGAGGAGAGGTAAAGGTGAGAAATCAGCATGCATCAAGATGCGTTTATTAAAGACCTACTTCTGTGAAGTGCTCTCCCTCCTGCCTCAGCAATTTTTTTTAAAAGATTTTTATTGGGGAATTGGGGGGATCGGAACAGTGCTGGGGAATTGGGGGAAGGGGAACAGACAAGTTGCTGTCGTTTTGTTCTTCAGTCTAGTTGTGGAGGACGTTGCTTC